TTTGTTTGTGAAACACGAGATAAAGTCTTCACAGCGTGATCGTTTCAGAGGTCAAACTATCAAGCGTACACTACCTGGAACATGCGAGTATTYGGCTACAATGTCGTTTTTAGCTCATTCAGAATTATCATTTTAAATACAGGATATATTCCCCATATTATGTAGCTAGAACTGTCTATTAGAGACAAAAAAATGAGTTTGTTGACTGTTTTCCGTGGTCATTTGGAGACTATCAGCTCGTGTTASAGTAATCTCCACATGTTYAGTGGGGTGTAGGGTTTGCATCATGCGCTTATACCACTTTTCGCGGGAAACAGGGACCGATCCAATTCCGATCAATTTCGGCGGKTTTTCAAACGAAAATMGGCAATAGGTAGACTTAAGGAATGCGAACAACACTCACCTAAGACCCATTCGGACCGATAGATTCCTAAGTTGGACAGGTCGTTGCCCGTTAGGTTTAGTAACAACATGGATGAGCGTTCAATGTAAAATTGGAATTTTTTAAATTTCAAATTGAAGTAGGGACTGTTGAGTTAACAAAACCCTTCAYCGTCAAAAGTTCAATTAGACGAGTTATTAAGAAATTTAGAGCCGCACAGGCTTTCCCGTGGCTTCTTGTATACCGTATTTACTTGAATAGACGCCGCCCTCGAATACAAGCCGCAGCTGGATTGTGAATAACGCCGTGGCGTCTATTCGAGTAAATACGATATGTTGTTGCGTTACCTATGTATGCTAATTTACTCAACTCCTCTGGATAGGGGAATGAATATTGAAATATTCGACATCCGGCTTCCCATTTTTATTTTGTAAAAAAGAATGCCTAATCCACACTGGGATTATTAAATCCCCAACATTTGTGGACGCGAAATCGACTTACTGTCTTCTTATATACTGCAGCCACGGGCAAAGAGAAAGAAGAGTACAACAAATACGTTTGAGTCATGGGACGAGGAAGACTTTTGTCCTGGAGTACCCGTTCTCCCTCTTGGCTCGTTCTCCTATCATCAGCYGGTATGCACATTTTTGGAATTACATCTGCATTAATTTAAGTGCATARTCCATTACGATCTGACAGTTTGACATATAATATGACCAAAACGAGTCCGAGGAAGGATAACATCGTAATTTTGGATTTTACGATGTTATCCTTCCTCGGACTCATTTTTGTTAAGTGCATAAAATACTGTATAATATACATTTTAACATACATTTGCTTACTTATTATTAATCTAATATTTTGTCAATAATTAAWATCAAATGGAATGAATGACAGACTATATACGCTTTTCAACTTACAGGGAAACATTGAGAAAGGCAGCAATAGAATGACACCATCAAAAAAGGAGAAACCAAAAAGAAAGATAACAAAAACTGAGGTTATCGRCCTAACTGCGTCCCCTTCTCCCAAAAAGAAAAAAAAAAATGATTTCAATTCATCGTCTGAAAGGTATGATGTTTTAGCATTATTGTGTATTGCATTTTCAAAAAATTCATTCGAYTGTCCAAAGATAGCTCACAAGAGGACATAGTGCTCGAATTACCAAACGGTTTACTCTAACATCAAAGTAGTCAAATCCTTGATTTTTTTTTAATACCTGGACAAGTTACATGTCTGTCAACATCGTTAATCTGATTTGTTGTGGTAACAATAGGAGAGGAATGTTTGGCCCGGGTAAACAGACTTTTTCGATAGAATGAACGMACCGGAAATATATCAGGCTGTGAGAGAAGACTAGAATGAGATGGAAGGGATCCTCTTTCCAATCCCTCGTGGCTTAACAGTTAATTCATTAAATGCACGGCATAAGGCACTACTCATGTTTGTAAACCACGTTTAGAACATTTTCCATGACAAATTCATACAATTCACAGTTCAAAAACTGACGAAATAAATGTGATTTTCTAGTTCATCAGATGAGTCCTACTCCATCTCGCGACTGTTAAACGTTGGTAGAGAAGAGGTGAGGTATTTGCGGGGAAACCCCAAAACGCCATACCTACCATGGGTCGGAGACTTTGGGAACAAAGACGTTGTGGAATATCTGCTCAAACCCCCTACGTTTGTTGTGTGTGATGTACGTCCTACTCTTTGTGAAGTTAACGCCGTCTTTACTATCAACAAAGAATCGTTGAAGGATGTAAATGATGTCAAGTCCGATGAATATATTTGGCGAAATAACGGAAATAAAAGTTATAAAGTTCTTTATGACGATAATGAATATTTGTTGACAAGAACCTATTTTGTGCACAAAAAACACAAAGACTTTAAAAGAAGATTCYTAAGTGTTTCTCGAGCTAACGGCGGTGAACCTACAAAGTTTATGATGGTCTGCTATCTTTTTGATAGTAASGAACATGCCATTACGCCGACGAAGAAAGTAAATACCCAGAAATCTACTCTGAAAGCCATGGTAGATAAATTAAAAGGAGGACAAAGTGCCCGAGATGTTTATGTGGAAACTCGTGAGAGTGAAGGGGGTATAGTCGGAGCTACAACTGTTTCAGGTTTACCCCGAAGTGTTCATCAGGTTCACAAATTAAAACAGCGTTACAATAGCAGGGGGGGGATACCTGTGGGACAAAAAAACAAGGATGAACTGTACGCAGTAATTGTACAATGCGTGGAGGAATCAAAACAAAAGGATAAATTCATCCAGTTTGTTCAGGCAGGTCCACAGCCCCTGGCATTACTCGCCGACGATCGACAGCTGGATGACATGGAACGTTTCCTCACCAATAAAAGTAGCCCGGGAATATTAAGCGTGGACACCACATACAATTGTGGTGAATTTTACGTCACACCAACGACTTACCGGCACCAAATGCTCCGCTCTAAGAGAAGTGGAAACCACCCAGTGATGTTGGGTCCAACACTCATCCATAAACATAAAGATGAAGATGCTTTTGGGTATCTAGCTAACTGTTTAGTGAGGTTGAGACCCAAACTTGCCAATATTCTTGGCATTGGATCTGACCGCGACAAAGCCATAAAGAATGGATTTTCTAAGCATCTTCCTCGAGCAGTGTTTATTGCCTGTAAAAAACACTTTGAAGATGACATCAAAAGAAAGCTAACTGAGCTTGGTATAACTGCAAAGGCAACTATACTAAAAGATATCTTTGGATCAGATGTTACTGAAGAGCTAGGACTATTGGATAAACAGAGCGGCAGGGAGTTTGACCAGGCTCTTCAAGATCTCAAACCTGTGTGGGATGAGTTGGAGAAGAAAGCCAGGGACACAACATTCCCTAGATTCCATTCCTGGTTTCTACGTTATCAAGCAAAAGATGCTAAAGAAATGCTGTTGTATCCAATCAGACGAGATCTAGGGCTGGGATATAATTATTACTACAACAACGATGCCGAATCAGTTCACCGTAACATTAAAATGCGACAACATTACAGGGCCTCTGACATGCCTACTGTTATAGAGAACATCAGACGTGAAAAGAACACAAATCTAACATACGTGGAGGATAGCCTCATCGGGAATGGCCCTTACAATTTAGATGAGAAATTTGTTGAGTTCAAAGTAAGTCACCATACCTGGACATATAAATTCTCCGAGACAAAAAAGAGAAAACATATCGCCAACTTCCATCGAGCGCAGGTCTCCTACTCTGCAGCACCGTCTTCATCGAATCTAGATCAAAGATGTGAATCTGACGATGAGTTACCTTCTGTGTACACTGCAACACCATCAACTAGTGCGTCGAACGAAGGGGACGTAGAACATAATGACATTAACGCCTCGCTTACTGTTCCTTTCATTGAGACTGGCCTGYCAAGTGTATTCAAATCTTCATACATAAAAGCTGCGAGGCTGAGGCAAAGTAACCATAACATTACAGTAGCACCAGGCAAACACGATGGGTATATGGTGGCCAGTGAGAGTGACGATACTCCACATTTTGTTACTGTGAAAAAGGGAGGAGCATGTGTATGCCCTTGCACAGGGTATAAAACAGCATCCTTATGTTCGCATGTACTTGCTGTTGCTGATACAGCTGAAAAATTGGCAGAGTTTCTTGTCTGGTTCCATAAAAACGGGGGACCGAACATCACAAATGCTTCATCCCTTACAGCGCCAAAAAACACAGGGAAAAAACCTTGTCAAAAGAAACAAAATCGCAAAAGGAAACAGGAACTTTCAGGTAGAAATGAAACAGGAACTTACACGGATAAAGTGCCGCTAAGTACCAGTGAAGGCACGTTTAATCTTAGATGGCTAGCAGACTGCAAAGCGCAAGTATGTTATGGCTGCGGTGGTAAGCTGCGACCTGGTCCTTCCGGTATACCAGCACCGCCACATGATGTAGTGTTAACAACTATGGAGTTCAGGTGCTGGTATGATAAAGCATCTCAAAACACTAAGATATCTACAAAGCCAGAAAGAACTCATTATCATTTGAATCCTGTTTGCGTGTGGCAAAAAAACCCTGGCTTTRAGGCCTCTGATGACATTGTAATAACACAACAAGATCGCACTAGATTAAGTGAGCAGCATAAACAATTTATATCAAATTCTTGCAATATTATTATTTCCTAGTTACCCCATTATTAACAAAAAAGATACTTAAGAATCAGTGATGTAATCGCTTYAAATCACGTTAGTGTTTCATTGCTGTTACTAGTGCTATAACGTACAACTCTATTGCTAAGTACTTACCATGTATAAGTCCATTAGACTTCAAGTACATGTACATATTGCAAATATTACAAATCATCGATAGTGAGTAATTATTTAATAGAAAATTTGAGAGTACTCGACAATCCAAGGTGTCAATGCTCTGGTAAGATGGCAAAGAGAGGAAAAAGGAAAGTAGGAGTAATTACATATATATACTTTATATAGTTTGTGTACTTTTTTACTTTATATCTTGATGGACTTAGTGTTTTTAAACCAATTTTTACAACGGATTGTATTTCATAATTTTTATTGTTATCGTTCAACAAAACTGCTGTTTTGCAGTTTTTGTAAATGGTTATTCTGGTCATACTCGAATTTTAATAGGTTATGACAGAATACAAATAAACTAGTACGTGCTGTGTAATCTTGCTGTCAATTTCCATCTGTGATTAACCTAGATTTTTATTCCCGGAATTAAAATATAATTTTATAAAATTCAAGATGACTATTTTGCCAAAGATTAGCACGAGGATGCAGGTGAGCCTATATTTTTTGATTTTTTGTGTTCGGGCTCCCTATAATTGAATGACGTCATAGCAAATGGTTGACAAGTCGGTCACATTAACAAAGTTTTTAAAATGTTTGTCCAGGAATGATTGGAATCCAGTGAATCCCAGAGAAGTTAATATTACATATTTCTGTTTATTATATATTATAATCTCTATTACAATATTGTATTTCTTGTTTGTTTTAAATTGTCCCCTTTGTACTCTTAATTCGCAAATATATTTTTTGTGAGTGGCGAGAAACTGATGCACACAGGCTATGCCTATACGATTTTTCTTGTATGACCAAAAGGTCAATTACGTGTACTTCTTAAAGGTCCACATTTCGGTTAAAAAAAGGTAAAATTTTACTATGATTGTCGATTTGGTCCACTTAAGGCAAATAAAAACCCCTAGCTACGGGCCTGCTACATCTTGTTGTCGTTCTGCAATGTTTTGTACTCGCTTGAAAATTCACCGATAATCTGTCATATGTCTTATATGTGTAGTCTCCTTTCGAAGCGTTCTTTCTTTTACATATGAAATATATTTACTTTTATCAGTCTGCAGTCTGCAGTCTGCAGTCTGCAGTCTGCAGTCTGCGGTCTGCAGTCTGCAGTCTGCAGTCTGCAGTCTGCGTGTGTCCAACACCGCAAATGAACAACATCGACACACTAGGAAACTACTCTTGAGACACAAAAAATAATTTATGCATGGCAGGAAACTATATCTTTGATGCAGACAATAAGTAAATATTTACTATTAACAATATCCATTAAATGTTGGCACTGCCAGGCTTTGCTATAGGAACACTAAGTTTATTTATGAATCGCACTTTTGAGTTAAGGTACAATGTGAAACCTTAAGTTCGTGCACATCAAGTAAATTTCAGGAACAGGAAGTTAAAATGAAATAACTTTTTTCTGTAAAACATTTACTATACAAACAAGCGCTCAAATTTTGCATGGCTATTTGATCTTTAGCGGATCTCTGTTGCCTGGCACGTGCAAGCACAATAGCATTGGGTATTAAGTTTGTGACAATAATAGTTAAGCTTACAATAGCTAAGATGCATGCGAGGCCTTTCAAAACATTGAACTCAAACTACATCGAACTTGCTGTAGCTAACCAAAGTRTTATCGTACTTACTAGTGTAAGAGAAGACTTTGGAAGACTTGATTTAACCAAGATTTTYACAAACATCTCACGTTCGATCCTGTTCTCTTGGTTCGGACATACTATCTGATAAATCTCTCGGTAAAATGGCGGTACCGAGCCTTTAAATGAAATCAACAGCGAAATTAATAGGAAAATAATGCATAGTGTCAAGTCACTTACAACTTGCAGTATGGTACATAGCTGCAAAGTTTATAAACTTACCAAATGCTAGMGAACCCGCCATTTTGGAACAATGATTGTACGACAATGTACGCATGCCCGGGTCACTATCATCACGTGATAATAACAAACATGGCCGACGTTCCAGACGAGTGTCTTGAAAGCTACGATTATTTCTTTAGACCTGATTTGTTRGCTGGCAAAGTCGCATTTGTGACTGGTGGAGGATCTGGCATTGGGTTCACYATTGCAGAAATTCTTATGAGGTGATGATCAAAGATTTGCGTGCTAGTGAAGCTGAGTTAATATAATTTGTTTACTTTGGGTCTGATTGCAGACATGGTTGTGTAACAGTGATTGCAAGCAGGAATTTCTCAAGAGTGCAAAAGGCATGGCACTTGCAATTTGTATAATCATTTGTTACGCGTATCAATTGTAAAGATGGTATTATTCTTTGTTCAATTCTACTTGTAGTCTACCCTCTAGATCCCCAGCTGACACTGAAGCTTATCTGCAAAATTTTACATTCTTTTTTAGGCTGCACGGAAGCTAGAAGAGGGAACTTCTCAAAAATGTCTTCCAATTCAAATGGATGTGAGAAAGGTTTGCATATCCAAATAGTGAGAAACTTATTTCAGCTTACATGAAAAAGGTGTTGATTATACAATTCCATCAGTGTGAGGGTGTACCGTTGTCTCTTAAATGAAACAGAACTTTACCATAAAAAGAAGAATTGTCCATCTTCATTTGAGTGTTGTTGTTTTTTTCTAAGGTGGAGCAAGTAGAGGCAGCAGTGAAGTTGATTTTAGAGAAGTTTAAAAAGATTGATATTCTTGTCAATAGTAAGTATAGAATATCATGCAACTTGAAGTGCAGCTTGATGAAATTCASTTCACAATAAATGTTGCGATGTTTATCCTTAGACGCAGCTGGAAATTTCCTTTGTCCTGCTGAAAAGCTTTCCTATAATGGCTTGAAGACAGGTAATGGATACCCCAGGCCACCTTCTTTAGCAGACTAAGACTTTGAAATATAAGACTTTATATGCCAAGTCAATTATAAGGATAATACATTTTGTATAGTCCAAGGGTTTTGAACCCCAGTTGGAACCCCCCTGTCATGTAACCCCTGCACATGTCCATGGCAATAGCTACGTAGCCAGGTTTCTAACTGCTCTAAGGGAGTTTTGGCAAGAGAAACCTTTTATATCCACTGTGGGTATCAATTAGTTTTAGTTATAAAGTCATACTGTGGCAGATCTCAATAATATATTCACTATTATTCATTTTGCAGTATTTGAAATTGATACTTTTGGCTGTTTTAATGTCAGCAAAGCAGTKTACTTATCCTGGTTTAAGGTACTTAAATATCCTAGTATATATTAACTAAATAGAAATAATACTGTGTTTAATGCTGATAACTATTGTCACCTCAAAAGATAATACAATAGAATATTTTACCAACAACCAACATTTGTATGTGTGTATTAATTGTTTTTAAGGAACATGGTGGAAGCATTATAAATATAACAGCAACTCTTTCTTTGGCAGCTCCTGCGCCCTTCCAGGTAATAATAAGAATTGTGTGTGACCAAATAACAGCTCTGATTGGTCTATAATAGATTATTAATATTAATGAAGTTTTTAATGTATTTAAATGCTTCAGTGTCATGCAGGTCCAGCAAAGGCTGCAATAGGTAAGTACAGTTAATATCTATTCTTCAACCATGAAGTAAAGCAAACTTAATATTAATAATTGATTTATTATTTAATTGATTGAATTATTAATTTTTTTTTTAACTAATTGTGTTGCTCATTACCTATAGAGGCCATGTCTCGCCATCTTGCCATTGAATGGGGTTCTCATGGCGTAAGGGTAAACTGTGTTGCCCCAGGTGGCATCAAAGACACTGTTGGATATGCAAAACTGGGTGAGAACATTGTGAAATAAACYTAATTTACAAAATCTGTAKAGYGAGYTGACAATCCRTATGCGATATCTCAAACAGATTTGATGCAAATATTATTATAAWATTTGTTAACTCTTTTATGTTCCAATGTGTTGTCATTATTTTCAGGTGGTAAACATGTGGATTTAAGTCAATCTATTCCACTGCAAAGAATTGGAACACGGCGTGATGTTGCWGATACTGTGGTATATCTTGCAAGTGATGCATCTAGCTATGTAACTGGTGTGAGTCTAATTGTAGATGGGGGAGCAATACTTTCTAATGGACCATTCCTGGAGAAAGCCAATTTAGCTTTGAGCAAATTATAAACTTAGACTTTGCTATAACATGTCTACGGGGACAGATCCAGGGGGRGACATCTATAAACTAGATGATTCTTATAATTATAATTTTGCTATTAAACTGTCCCTGAAGGAAATCCTGAATCTTCCTTATTATTATTATATATTGAAATTTCAATAAGCCAAATCAAAAGAATGTCATTATTTTTTAATAAATTCAAATRAAAAAAGATTCGACTCCGTGGATTTTCTTATGGGATCCCTGTGCTATGCTGTAAGTACACTCTGCGGTTTTCCTGTGTCACACTCTTGGATGAAGAGTTCGTGGAATCCATCCCCTTCTTCTTGTTTGCCGTAAATCTTCTTCGCTCATAATTTTTCTGAGTAAAGATTATCACCGAAATGGGGGCAAGTACATCGAATTTTCGTGTAGAGGAAACGACATTACAACAGTTTTCGTATGCGACTTTGCTGGAGAAGAAAGACTGTGACAGAGAAAGCTTTCAGTTGTTTCGCGTTACWTCTTTTCGTTATGAAGCTATACTATTCAAAAATGATGACCATCCTAAGTGCCTCAGTCTTTTCAGAATGGACGATGAACAAGCAGCGAGGGATAAGTTTAAGTAAGTTCTGAAGTCCTTCGTAAAGTAGCGAAATAACACTTGATATAAATAATCGATAAATGTCCGAATGTTTAACTGTTAATAATAATCTACGAAGAGCAGCTTCCTTATACTAGAAGATTGTSCTTAAAAGATAATCTTTGTGTGCCTGGGTCGCCTGGGTAAGGATGAGGATGAGAGGGCATTGGTGTGATTCCTGCTTCTGACACCATGTTCTGCCAGGAAGYATTTCTAGAATTCTCCATGATTGAGCAACTGTATTATTTCAGTGTATGACACCCCCCAGAGAGTTGTTTCTTTAGATCATTTACATAAGAAATGAGTTAACCGCATARAACTCAGATCATGCTGATCATGTTTCTTTGTCATTGTTGGCAGCTGACACCAATAGATTATTTCTTTGATGCAATGAGATTTTTTACAAAATATCACAACAAGACCTTCTTGCATGTGACATGGAGTATTTTAAGACAAAAATATATGCAACCTTTGGGACATGACTGAAAATGTGTTCACCATGCCAATTAATTAAACAACTAAATTAAACACTTGTATTTCTAACTATATCAAATGTCCCTCTCATAATAATTAGCTATACTATTATTCTACTGCAGAAGCCTCTACAAGAAACTCTCTCCGTTCTATAAGACATCTGTGAAATGTTTTAATGCTGGGACATTGCAAGAACTGATTGATACCATGTACCAACATCCAGAATGGACTYTAGCTGATGTTGCCAAGCATCTTGACCTTAGAGAATGCTTAAGTCATGAGCATATTGCTGCCTCTTCAGAAAACAAATCAGCCAGTCCCCTCCAAGTAGCTTGTAAGGTGAATGCTTCCCCCCCCCCTCTCCATCATTTCCTTCCCTATCCCTAACCCATGTGGCTTTGTGGCAAATGCCGGGAGACTCCCGGTTTCAGATCGAATCTCCCGGTCTCAAGATTTTAGCCCTAAATCTCCCGGATACACACAATATTTTCACAGAATGATATTAATTACTAACCATCGTTCTAGATTTTTATTTAAAAAAACATCAGTGAATTATGTCGCATTTCCTCGACCTTTCAATATGGAACAAAATGCCTACAGGTGTTGCTTACGTATTCTCGTGCATGAAAAACTGATTATGCAATGTCTAATCCCATTGATTGAATCAGAATATGACGTGATTTGTGGCGTCATTCACATGGTGTGATGTCACACACATAAATTTAGTTAAATTCTCCAGATATATAAAGTTCRGGGGTTGACATCCCTGTGTTTGCAATATAGTTTCCTTTGGTTGGATTTCCTTTACCTTTAGAAAAACAAAGGAATGGGCCCCAACATTTTCTTCTACCACAGAAAGCCCAAGAGTTTTTTTCAAAGGAAACTAAATCTTGACTTCATTTTCTATTTTAGACTGGAAAATTAGACTTCATTCAAAGTTTGACAAGTATCAATGCCCGCGATTTTGTTAAGGACAAACTTGGAAATACACCACTGCATTATGCTGCTGAAAACTACCCTGAAATACTCATATCAATGATTCARAAGGCACAATATTTAGGTATTGTAAGATACAAAAAACACAACTCATTGACATTAAATATTCCATTTCTAATGAAACACTAACCCCCGTCTTTACCACATCATTATCTTTTATATTTTTGAAACAATTTTGTCACCAGGAACACAAGTCTCAGACGTTGTCAACTCGCGTAATGCCGATGACCAAACAGCTTTGGATGTGGCCTGTCACTTCTCACAGGATCAGGGAGTYAAGGTTTTGTTAGAGGCTGGTGCAGATGTGAACCATGTAGAAGGCTAYCAAAAACCAATTCACACAGCTCTTAAATCCAATGGTACACGGTGTGCAGCGCTGATCTTAGAGTTTCACCCTGACCAGATCAATGAGAAGGATTTAAAGTATGGTGCTTTTCCATTACATTGGGTAAAAACCAAAGAGGTAATTAATTGCTTGTTAAATGCACTTGTATACACAGGGATMCCAAAATTGATCATTATCAAGCTCCATTACACCAGTTTCGAATTCTCTTTTGTGCAAGCTTAGCTTCAATCAAGCACAAATTATTATTGTCTTCTTAGTATACAGAGTGTTTGCATTTCAATAGGATCTCTACTGAATAAAAGAACCAGTTGTGTAAAGAAGATAAGTTTAACACCGTAAACAAATATGGGAAATAACTTACTGACGTTTCGGATGAATATATTACATGTTTTTGGGGTTAAGGCGGCACAAGTAAGATCTTGAAACTGGAGTTTTGAAGTTGGTCATAACTATGTGTTACATTTATTTGTCAATCAAGGGAGTTCGTCTTCTCTTGGAAAAAGGAGCAAGTATTGAGTGTAGAAATAACGACGGGGAGACACCTTTGCATGTTATGGCCAGACGGAGAAGACTTGGRTGTGTCATTGTATTGCTGTCCTCTGGTGCTGATGTCAATGCAYGCAGYAGTGATGGATCTACACCGCTGCATATTGCATCACAGGTATTGTAGACGCCTATTGATCATATGACATATTATATTAAAAGTAATAGGTTTCCTTAGAGGGTTTGTTAGGCTATACTTTACAGGGACAGAGTGTAGAAATAMGTTTGGCAGTGACAAASTAACATAACCTTCCTAATCTTCCAAAGAATTGGATATTAATTTAGAGACTATTTTTTAAATAATACACATAACATGGGAAAGATCGTTAATCCTCATTTTGCAAGAAGGAGATGGGGTTTTATTATCTATTCATTTCGATATAAATATTATCATTATCGTAAAAACTCATTCAAAAATATTTYACAAGTCCATCTTCTTGGGCCTTTTRATAGCTCTTCGCATTCTTGTTGTATCGTTTGCTGCAGGCTGTCTTTTTCTGTTGGCTCTMCTTTTCTCYGAGATATTTCCATYTTGTTTTACACAAAGCTCTTCCCGTTTASCAATAACTTCAAAATCGTCAACTKTGYCTTCTTTTGYCTTCTTCGTACTGTCATWTTTCTCTTCCTGAAGTTGTGGGTCTGGTTTGCGTTCAGCATTTTGTAAGCTAATACAAACGTCTGCCAGTAATGCAAGATTGGACAAGCTGCCCGACGTCAATGAAGGAATACATTCTTGATTGTCAGTGAATAAGCTTTGCTTACTTTCACGGTGCGCAGCTGATCTCTGATTATAAAAAAAGTAAAAACAAAATCAATAAGTTCTGACTAAGACACCTTTAACATTTCTCTGACTCTGAGTTTACAGTTTGATCAAAGCAAAAACGTTAAGTTTGTTCCTTCAGACTGACCTTGTAGGGCGTGTCATYCTCAACGAACTTCTCGCTTGTTTTTCTGGCTAATCTCAAGCGACTTGTACAAGGTTCTTTAAGTTCAAGAAGAGACTTCTTTCTTTCCTTGATTTTCTGCTTACGCACTCGCTATAGATAAAGATTCAAAGAAATTGCTGATGAATTACGCCGCATAAATAAGTGTAGAAAATGCAAAGTGGGGCATTAGATTGGAAACTGACTTCACCTGTCATTTACGTTAAGTAATATATACAATATGAGCGGGCGATCTGTATGAGGATTTAAAACAGCGAGCTGAGAGCGAGTTGAAGTAATCATGGGCTATGATTTCTATTGTGTTTTGCCTTATGAATATTAATGAGTTTTATAAGTATGTCTACAAATCTGAGCCTACAAATAATGTGTCTACAAAGCGACTCTTGATCTATGTAATCCTCCGTATAAACTTGTTTTGATAGCATATACCAGCAGGGACGTATTTGGAGGGGGGGAAGTCGCATGACTTAGCATGGTCCCCTCGACTCCTCTTTAGGCGAAGTTGAATTGATTTAAAGAAAATAAAAGTYTGATGTGAAGATTCATTGAGACTTATCACGTAAGAAAATCATTTTTCTTGTTTCTACATGTCCTACATGATTTTTTTGCCATAATAAGAATATTGTATGCGGTAATGACCCCTACAATGAAGAATTTTGTATACGCCCTGTATAATGGGATTAACTTCTAGAACGCTCTGTCGCGTTATACCTCAGGTTTCTTGAACCCCAGAATATGTTTGTACAAGTAGTAGAAYTCTTTGCAGTCCTCAGCTGTCTGTAGGAGTTGAATATTCGTTTCAAAAATATTTACAGTATGATCTTCAYAATGTCGGTAATGTATATATTGATAAATGTCTACCTTGTCTGGTAGTGCCTTGGCAATGAGATCAAACTTCTTGTCTTTGTTGCTTTCAAGTGTTTGATATCTAAATAAAGAAAACAAGACAGTTCTACCTACATTAGTTCTAGGATTCAAAGGCAATTTTGAAAACAAAGACCTGTACTAACTGTAATGAAACGGCCTTTTACTTTTCCTCGGACATTTCTTTTCACCTTGCGCAGAATTGCGCAAGATACRTTATTTTTAAACCCCACTTTCCTTTCGTAGTAACTGCATTACATCAACAGTGTTAACGTAAGTGTGCTTGCGTTTTTATAGTAAAAAGTCMTAAGTGTGCTCCGTTAACATCGTCTTCGTAGATACAATCCGTAAGAAACTTTGCGATAACGCCATGTTTGCTACGTAACTAAGACATTGCATCAAAACTTTATCACAATTCGCATTGTCTTTTGCGTAAAAACATGCTGACATTATTTCCATGTGGATACGCGAGGAATTGTCRTGTAGCCATGCTCGAGTAYTTTTGCGTAAGCACAATGCGTAAACACTTTGCGTTACGGAACAGGTAAATGTTTCAATCAACTTACTTGGCAGTAAACACTTTGATGTCGTCGTTTTTCCACYTGTTGTGCATGAGTTTCTGTCGACTGTTAATAGTGTCTAGCCCTACATTCGCGAGTTCTGAACAAAGAAATGAAATTGAAACAATCTGGAGCTTTAAAGTAACAAAAGCAATAAAAATTAAGAATGTTATGGATGCGATAATGTAAAGAAAACACTAAGAAATCTAGAATTTTAAGCTGAATTTTTCAACATTTCATAAAACTGAACACGACGTCTGATTATGACGTCATAAGTAGATAATTTACATATTCTGAATTGGACGTTTTGCCCACTGATTTTTGATGTATCATATTTGGTGTTTTTCGGATGTAAGAAAAGTTTCGCTTTATAATATATAGCGACTGTTGTAACGTAGATCAGATTAAGCAATTTTGTGTCCGCTTAAAGGGATAACTTTTGAACGARATAGTATACAAATGGCTAGTCTTACCTGCTGGGTGTTCGTCGTTGCATTCTGATTTAGTTATGCACCTTGGTAGATCCTCGTCTATTAAAAAAAATAAAATACAGTGTACTCTTAAATCTCTTTGACTATTGTAAAAACAAATGTTCATGACTCTAGACTCTTGTAAGGAATTTCAACAACTTGAGGCGTATAGAGGAGTACGTTGCATGCTGTATGGTGTTGCCTGAATGTCAGTGTCATACATCGTTTCCTTCTGTGTTTCACTTAAACAATTCTTACCCTTAATGGCATTAGTAATCATGACTTGGGGTCTGTCTTCGGGCAAATAGATATCGTCGCTTGGCATTTGTAGAGAAGAAACCTAAATGTAGAGTAATGTACAAATGAAATTATAAACCACGAGGGAAACGCAGAGGAGTGAACGAGAACGAGAGGAGTGCGGAAGGAGTGCGAGAGAAGTGCGAGAGGAGAAAAAAAGTTGATAAGAGGAATAGGATGGAGAGAAGAGGAGGAGAGAAAGAGAGGAGAGAAGATTTCAATTTGAGGAGTTCTGAGTAGGGTTTATTTAAGTATAATTTTCTTAATATTTYAATTAAATTAAAGATGATGAAGTGAGATGATGAATCAAAGATGAAATACCTTAGAGTTTTGAAATCTTTTCTTATCGCCTRCATCCTTTGCGTTTGGGTTCCATAGTCTTGGACGAACTCTGAAGTTTCCTTCTTCACTGAAAACAAACGAGATCCTTCTGTTCAGGTTAATCTTTCTTACTGTCCTATGATCAACAATTCTTACCTCTTGTGTTTTGGTTTGCAATCAGACATTCTCAGAGACTGGAACAGGGTTTTTTACCGACGAAATTTAAAAGYCTAATTAATTTCCATTGTGACGTAATACTGCGATGCCATTTATGATGTCATAATGACGATTCTGTCCAGTTTCCACTCTGCCAGGTGCATCGGTGGGATAATTGTTTATATGTTGTGTTCTGGAAAAGATTTCTTTTTTTTTCAGTTGTTTAATGTAGTGATTGCAACAGTCAAGGTGCTTATATTATAGGCTCTTTCAATATTTTTTTTTTGTCAAGCGAAATTCGTGCGCTTGTCACAAATGAGAGCGCGCGTGATGATAGATTTATGACTGCGCGCACATGTTGCAAGGCATGATTGGTAAGAATACTTTTGGTGTAACTTCGTCTAATAATCAAGGTAAAAATACATTAAACAACGATATCAYAACTTAAAACATGCTCTGTAAAAACGCGTCATAAACGTTACCGTGCATCATTCATGTTATTTTGTTGTGTGACAGTGTTATAGCCAGCTAAACCTTATTCATTGTTCCGTAGGCAGACGACTGTGACATTGTACGAGCTCTGATTGTGTTTGGTGCAGATGTAAATGCAACCAACAATAAATTCCAAACAGCGCGCCATATTGCTACACAAGAGCACCATCCAAGATGGAAAGACGTAGTTGATGCGTTATGCTACGTGGGAGCATCGCCTTGTGACAAAGCGAAAACMAAATGTAACCTTCCATGCAGTAAAGAATTCAAAGGAGAATTGAGAATAGGTAGTTAATCGAAAAATGTCTATATAGATATATCATTTTTTAGGATACTCAAGCCTTCAGGACCATTTTCAGGGGGGTGGATGAGACCACTTAACACCGCAGAAGACCTTCATTCATTGTGTTTTTTTGCACAGCCTCATTCAGCTAATAAGCAATTTTGACACCCCCTGACAAATTTTCAAGAAAGGTTTTTGTAACGCACTTTTATAATTCTGTGTCTACTGTCGGGTGTGGCTAGGCCCTGCTAGGCCATAATGGGGTCTCATCCTCTCCCGTTTCGACCCTGCATTTAACTATTTTCTTGSATTAAGGTGATAGTGTCAACAAAGTYRCATCGGGTTTTTTTAAATCGTCTGGTTTCGAAGACTTGATCAGGGCCGCCGCTGTTAGTGCTGCRTTATTCAGTTCCCCAGGTAACATTGCAATYATTTYTCTTTTTCATTTTCATCATTGTAAGACTTGTTTGCGAACGATTTCCCACCAGGTAAAGACTCTGTAGATGGCGGCTCAAAACCGAAAAGAGCGAAGTCTATCTTTAAAGAGAAAACTGGACGGGATTCAGTTCTGGCTATGGACGGGGGAGGAATCAGAGGTCTGGTACTAATACAAATACTGCTGGCCATAGAAGAGATAACCGGCAAACCAATCACCGAGTTATTTGACTGGATAGGTGGGACAAGCACTGGTGGTATATTGGCATTGGCTTTAATCCACGGTACAGTTAGTTTGCATWTTCAACCATTCAACTCACATCAACTGAAAAAGAAAAAAAAAGTAGGAAGAAAGAGATCGTCACTTGTCATCATAATAGTAATCATTATTATTAATGATAACATACGGAGTCCGTCGTTGGTTCATTGTCCACTACCGACCATTTCAATGCCTATTAGAATATGATTATTATATTTAGGAATTAGTGCAGTTTAGGACCGTTATATTTAAAAGATGAACATAGGTCAACATAGACCAGATATCGGTAATGAATGGRAACTGCTTCAGCAATGCCCGAGATTAAWACACGMCAGCAAAGCTTGCGCTATTGAATATCAAGTACCATAAAATTGAATGATTTATTTATTTACATAGGAAAGTCGATCAGATACTGCCAGGGTTTATACTTTAAATTGAAAGACGAGGTTTTCAATGGACAAAGACCGTACAATTCAGAGCCTTTGGAAAGATTGTTGAGAGAAGAGTTTGGCGAGAATACAATGATGACATCGGTGAAACATCCTAAGTAAGTGCCTCWCTTTGTAAATCAGTTTTCTTCAMGGTTACATCCAYTATTTTAGTAAAAAGTGRCCGTGCCTTTGCATCCCTTCTTTCACACTATAAAATATCATTGCAAACACGCAACAAAACAGACKCTCTGTGGATTCACGAATGCAAAKCCACSCCGGCTAKACTTTTTAAAGTTAMACTATAAGAATTATTTTCAATTCTWATAACGATTTTATTACATGCAGAGCTCTTATTACCGCTGTACTAGCAGACCGTCGTCCAGCAAGCTTATACTTCTTTAGAAACTATGACATGCCAGAAGATAAGGCATCAACTGCAACAAAGTCACCATTTCCATCGCCTCCTCCTCCATCAGGTAAGATSGAATTCATTGTCAAGTTAGTCACCAACCTTCTTTCGTTCATCATTTTTTTTCTCACTTAGAACAACAAGTATGGAGAGCTGCACGAGGGACAGGAGCAGCACCTACGTTTTTCCGTGCCATGGGACGTTTTCTAGACGGTGGTTTAATAGCCAATAATCCAACTCTAGATATTCTCACTGAAATACATAAGTACTACCAGGTACACTGCCCCGAAGCAAAGAAAGGCGTTGGCTCATCAAACGTAGGTCTAGTTGTGTCCCTAGGTACTGGTGTGCCACCTACAGAACATGTCATGAATATTGATGTCTTTAAGCCGGATTCGATATGGGATGCCTCCAACATTATAACTGGCGCACGCGCACTTGGTATGCTGYTGGTMGATCAGGTAACTGTCAATCAAAGCTTTGTTTTACATAGCAAAAAACGTTACTCATTGTTTGTCTTATACTCACCAGGCCTGCGCGACCCATGGKCCGGTTGTAGARCGTGCAAGGGTCTGGTGCGAGATGATTGGAGTCTCGTTCTATCGTTTTAGTTCTGATATGTCTTTTGAAGTTGGACTTGACGAAACAGACGACAGACTCCTCGTAAAGATGCTTTGGGAAGCTAAAGTCTATGTTTTACAAAAYATTCAATCTTTTAATGAACTTTCCGAAAAATTAACTATGTGATGATAACATTTTAACTGAAATTAATTTGTAATAAAATATATATYTCATTTTAAACTAATATTTAACAAGATATTTTAAATCTATTGTTCGCATTTCTTCAACAGGTTCACCTATACCACAAAATTCAGTCCACTAAGTGTTTTGCCATTTTCACAAATCACACACACACAAAATAATAATGGTTTCTTGAGATAGTCTGAACATGATTTTGTCAAAAGATATAGCGAAACAAACAACGAAAGTATATATTGTCATAGTATTATTTGTAGAACATAAATGTATAAAAAATTAAAAGAATATTAATTAACAACTGTAAAGATTTGTTGTTGTTTTTCATTAAATTCAGAATATTGTTTACATTATGGCACGAATTAACAAGACGCGCGCTCTGTTTGATGTCGTGTTTTATGACATTAGAGAGTTTTAGATTCACGTTTACTGCAAACGCCAAATGGTCTTTTATGCTTTGTCTCAAAATTTCAAACAAACGTAAAAACGCTTCGACGGGAATAGTAATGCGCAAGCGCCAGATCAGCAAACACTGAAATAGCCTGCGTGGCGGCTCTAGGGGAGGGGGGAGGGGAAAACGGAAGGGGAGGGGGTGGGGAGGCGGAGCTCCGCCTCCCCACCCCCTCCCCTTTCCCCTAGAGCCGCCACGCAGGCTAACACTGAAACCAGCATTGCTCTATGTTCAGTTTAATTATTAGTGGATTCTCAGCCAGGTTTATCTCGTAGTACTCTCGTAAGTACCGATTTAATTCTACATACTTATATTATATTCATGTCTACATTTAACTCACAAGGCTGAGCCAAAAGCTTTTRATAGTTCGGCATGGAACATAGATTGGTCGGGATTTTTATTAACTTCGTCCGGTCTCAGGGAGAGCTGTTGATTGTTGATGTATTTCGATTAAGAACGGATGGTTCCTGCCGTAGATATTGGACCAACCATACACCGGTGCCTACGGCCCTGTAACTACAAACTTAACATGTAAGCTGAATATTGTAATTGAACGAAGCAATCATATCAAAGCGGATATTCCACACTATGGATGTTGAGTGTTTTTAACTTAAAGTTACTTCTGTTATCTCCTCAGAGTAGCAATGATAATCTTTTGAGAAAAAAAGAACAAATTCCTTTGATTTTTATTGAAGTGATTCAGTGCAACAAAAGATAATGATTTGTTTGGCATGTTCTACCATTGTTTCCAACGATTAAACAAAGACCACCACGCTGTAGAGATATACTGGTGGCTTAAACAAAGGGAAGTCATGCGATCACTACCATGGCGGACTAGTTTTAAATAACGTGACAGCGTTACACGTATAATTAATATCAGTCATGGATTTGGTAGTTTGTAGGCTAGCTCTATAATGTTGTTAGTAGGCCTGACTCGGGATCTTCTGATTCTTTGAGCTTTATTCAACTACTGACTAGATTTTAGATTTTACAAGGTATTTTCTAAGCTACAAGATCAGTTCAAATTTCTATTTATTTAGCTTTGGCATTTTAGAAGCAGAATCCCTATTGTTAATGGTACTAAAAGGCGTAACGTAAGGATGACGCCGTACTGAAAAACACTTCAAAAAAATAATATTTCTTGCTTCTAGCGTAAAGTCCTACAATACTACATTGATGATTCGGTACTAAATGCATTTTCATATATACCTTGCTATAAAATATTAAATGTTAGTATAAACATACTAATGGTCTATCACTCATACTGCGCTGTGATTGGCTACTCTACTAATGGTCTAATTTGTGATAGACCACTCGCGGGAAAATCAAAATAAATAAATTATAAATYATTTTAAGGATATTTCAATTTTTTTTCATTATTTGACCGATTAGTATGTTTATACTAAAACAATTAGACCTCTCGGCCTCGTGGACTACGGCTAATAGCCCATTCGGCCTCGCGGACTCGCCTCATGGGCTATTAGCTCGTAGTCCACTCGACCTCGAGGTCTAATTGTTAATTATTAGACTTCGAGGATAAAAGAGAGCATTACTAATTTCATATTACAAGTTTCATATTGTAAGTACTTTGTAACCATTAATGCAACATCGGACACTAGCCTAGGATGATAGACAGGTCCTTCAAGCTATTAGCAAATAAGTAAACACTCTAGAAAATAGCAGGAAAATACTCTCAAATAACATGTTAAAATGTTGATCTGAAGAAGCAGAACTCTACTAACACGATAAACAAACTTATCATAAATGACATATCCTTAAAATTCTAGTAAAAGGTAATTACGAGTAGATATCAAATGATTCTCGTATGAAATTACAATATTCTCGAAGTTTTAAAATATTATCAATAAAGCTCTTAAGTTAATAACTAAATAATGATAATTACAATCGATAATAGCGTAGATATCATCGATATACTTCGCATCACCTTGGTAGTTTGTATATGTAAACCGTAAACCAGCGCATGATAAAAGGTTGAGTGATAAAGATARACTATAGACACTAACGTAGCGTGAAGTCGGGCTAGCTTGTATACGCGCCCGATTAACGATTGTCAAAAGCAACATACGGGGTCCATGTGGTATAGCTTGTAAAGCATCATGGGGGACTATGTGACGACGTTAACAGATAGATAGATTAAGAGATTAACGAAAAGGTAGAACTAAAGTCGGGCATCGCCTATGGCTAGCCGACTTCCTCCCCTTTTGTCGGGCTTCCTGTCCCTCCCTTCTTTTAGGACAGGAAGCCCGGCGAAAGGGGAGGCTGCGAAGGAGACTACGTTTGTCTATACTAATGTATCAGCCTGATTGTAGCCTGTGTACATCCGTTTCTCACCCCTCCAAAAAAATCGGGGATCTCCCCGATTTTTTTGGAGGGGTGAGAAACGGATGTACACAGGCTACCTGATTGTTATTATAGATAATCATGTCGGATTATAAAGCTCAAGGMTGGTTGGAGTACAGATGTAAAGGTGGAGATCTTCTGTTTTACTACAATAAAATAACAACAGAGCACAGATTTCCAAAGTGGGACTTTGATACAAAGGTGAGACATATTCTCCAGTACCTCCCCTCCCTCCCAATGAGAAATATGCCAGTCACGTATTTAATTAAAGAACTTTTGGTCCTTGTATAATTTAGAAATGGAGTTTGGGAGAGGCTATCGAGGGCGCTTCTGTGAACAAACAWGTCAMCATATCAACGCAAACTGATGATACAGGGTGTAGCAATGGATGCACATCAGTGTATGTAGACATCGACAAAGCTGAACAACAAGAACAAAACCGAACACGTGATATATGGACACAAATTAGGAAAGAACTTGTCAGCATTGATGATGTAAAGAGAGAAGTAGAAAAGACCGGCAGTACAACAGCTAATAATGCGCAACTGACTGGAGAAGGAAAAAACGACACAAAAGACACGGACACCACCCCAACAAGGTACGATTCAAGAAGAACGAGTCATCCTCAGTTGCTTAGAGAAGAAAATCAAGAAAATGGAATAAACCCATACAAGAAATCAGATAATCACCATCTCAGACCACAAGGAAGAACKACTAGTCCACTGGTTTTTCCTTTAACTGGAACAGGAAGTGACAGTGAGAGTGAAACCAGCAATGTAGACAGCACTGTTGAGGATGATCCAGACAGCTTCTTGGGTTATGGAGACCAACTACGCCCAACTAAAGCGACCGAGTGTGCAAGGTTACAATTAGCTGTTAATRAACTGAACGAAAATASTAATAATTGTAGCACGGAAAATAGTTTAAAAGCTAGTAAACTCTCTGACAGCACTAACAAAGAAACATCTCTAGTCACAAGGAACAAAGGAAAGCCACACATGTGTGATYATTGTGGTCGCGCATTCACCCATATTACTGCCTGTAAATTACATGAAAAGATCCATTCAGGAGAAGAAAAYCAATATTACAAGTGTGAATATTGCAGTCAGACATTTAGACTTCGACGAGCTCTTAGAGTACATCAGCGCACAGTCCACATTGAAAGAATGTTTAAATGTACGTCCTGTGACAAAATGTATAAAACTAARCAAGGCCTTGTATTGCACGAGGCCGTTCATGATCCAAACAACAAGCCACACCAGTGTCAGTATTGCAASGCGGCATTTCGATGCTTAACGGAATGTATAAGACATATGCGCATTCACAGCGGGGACCAAACAGGTGAAAAGCCATTTCAATGTCAATATTGCAGCAAGACATATAAAAACAGAAGTACGCTTGCAAYACACTTGCGCAATCACACTGGAGAAAAGCCATACAAGTGTGAATATTGCGCAAAGACTTTCAGATTTTRCGSAKCACGTACACWGCACATGCGCGTACACACAGGAGAGAAGCCATACAAGTGTCAATATTGCAGCAAGACATTCAGAAGAAATTCACATTGCAAGTCGCACGAGCGTATTCATTCTGGTGAGAAACTATTCAAATGCAAGGATTGTGGCATGGCATTCACGCATGATTACAAGTTAGAAAGACATCAGTATTCACACTCTGCTGAAAAGCCATTCAAATGTCAGCAATGTGCAAAGACATTTATAACCAGCAGCGAACTTAAGAGACATCATCGTGTTCATTCGGGAGAGAAGCCATTTAAATGCAAGCATTGCGACAAAGCATTTTCGAGTAACAGCCACTGCATTAGGCATGAGCGCATTCACTCAGGAGAAAAACCTTTTAAGTGCRAACACTGCGATAAAGCATTCAAATCATCGAGTGACCTCAAAAGACATGAGATTTCCATGCATTTAGAAGTAAAAGCATTTAAATGCAAATATTGCGACAAGGCATTTGCACTTAGTAGCAATCGTAGGCAACACGAACTCCTTCATTCAGGAGTGAAGCCTTACAAATGCAGTCATTGTCGCAAATCATTTGCAACACGAAATCATCGCAAATTGCATGAGCGTGTGCATACAGGGGARAAGCCATACAAATGCAAATTTAACAATTGTGACAAAAAATTTAGCAATTCTTCTTGCTTAAAGAGACACGAGAACTGCCATACTAAACCATTTAAATGCAAGCTCTGTGGAWTGGCCTTTGATCGGTCCAGTCGGTTGAAAAAACATGAAGAGACACATGTTGATGAAACTCCCTAAAAAGAGTATAATTACATGCTAATTAGTGCTATTTAGCAGCCCAGAAAAGTCTTATTAATAATTTAATCTGTGTACATTTAATCTGTATACAAATGTCAGCAATGTGCAATCTTGCATTTGACTATATTATTTATATTAAATTTATATCATTTTTGATTTCATTGCATTTATTATAAAACAGAGGATCAGCGTAAACGGGACATCTCACTTTCATTATAACCAGGAACAAGAGATTTTTGTACAACAAGTCCCCCCCCCTTGAGAACAAGTTATTGACTTTCTATTAAAAGTTTTAAAAAAATTCTACAAAAACTCATTACTTTTTTCTTTCCTTTTTGTTATCGTATTTTACTATGACGTTATACAGGATATTTGAAGGGTAGACAGGATCGCTCCAAACAAAAGGGATTATAGGATTCCCTTTGTATGAAATAGTTCCTTTTGTATTCTTTCTTGGTATTATCCTGCTCCCTTCCAGTAACTATATAGTCTTTAGTGTTTTTTGTTACAAAACAATAGAATGTTTCGTCGTGATAATGACGTCATAGTGAAATAGGGTGCGGGGAGTCCCCAGGGAGTCATATCAGGTTTCCTCTTCAGCGATCTTTTCTCTAGTCAAAAATCAGAATATTTCTTTTCGAGATACATCTTCATTGAATAAGGTAAGTACCGATATCATTTTTCTTGCACTTTTATTGTAATTCAAACATTGCATAATTCTGAATACTAGCTGTGTCGTTTTGATTTAAAAAAATGGACGCGACGGGATGCATCCCGGTACTGCAGTCAACGTTGTGTTGTCAACGCTTTTGTTGAACTGTTTCGAAAACGGACCTTTTAACGGATCTCTGGATGCCTCAATTCATACTCTAAAAATGTAGAGTTTACTCTTTGTGCAAAGCTAAAGAAGAGCACTGATGAATTCCTTAGAAATCAAAAATATACTTTGATCTTGATTCTCTGTTAAATACTTACGAATTTGCTGTAGCCTACCTCAGTCTACAGTTATTTTAGCAGTTTGATGATATACATTTGTACTTTATTCATTAATTCTCTCCTGCAAAGAGGCTGAACTATAGACTGAGGCTGTTTAAGGACATCATTGACCCCTCAAGACAATGACACAAGGCGGAATCTGATTTTAATATCATGACATTTAAGAGAAAAGGATTGAAAAGTGTGAGATAGGAGATTACAGAGATTTTGTGAGAAGTGGAAAATGGAAACTGACATAAAGTGTTTTCATTTCCAGGTTTTTTGGGTGCTTTTAGTCTAAAGAGTTATCTCTTGATAGGACTTACTTTATTTCATAATCAAGCCAATAATATGACACATAAACTATCAAAGCAAAACCTATTCTATTTTGTACTTTTAGATAATGTCCGAATCTGACACCCAGGGCTGGTKGGAGTACAGATGTAAAGGGGGAGATCTTCTGTTTTACTACAATAAAATAACAACAGARCACAGATTTCCAAAGTGGGACTTTGATTTACAGGTGAGACATTAATTCTACASAAACCCTTRTCTCTCCTGCTCAATTCAATAGATTCCGTCCTTATTTTAAATAACTTAATTTTTATAATTGCTTTTATCAGAAATGGAGCTTGGGAGCATCCATTGAAGGTGATGCTGTCAACACCCGTGTCACCACATCAACACAAACTGATGATACAGGGTGTAGGAATGGTTGCACATCAGTGTATGTAGATATTTTCCAGGGAACAGGGAGTGACAGTGAAAGTGGATCAAGTAGCACTGAGTTGTATAGTGCCAATGAAGGTGATTCAGATATCACTACTAGAGGCAGATCAACGAGAACGACACAAAGCACATCTACCTCTGAAAAAGATGTCAATCAATCCAACAGTTCCAAGTTGAAAAAGAAAACAACAAGAGAGAGTATCTGTCACTCSATCAAAGCAGACAAAAATTGTAGCCACAAGGAAATCTCTGCAGAAAAAGAAAAATTCCCAAAGTGTAGATTTTGTGGTAGAGCATTCACACATATAAGGGCTTGTAAAGTCCATGAAAAGAACCATGAACATGAAAAACGAKTTGATAACAGTTCTAMGAATCAAAGRAACCCAAMAACAGACRATGAATTACTTGTCAACAGCAAAGGTAAACATTCAAGTGTCCACACAAAGTTAGCAAAGAAAAAATCTCATAAGTGCAGACATTGTGGTCAAGCATTTACACATGTAAGTGCCTGCAGAATCCATGAGAAGGTTCATGTACAGGGCAGACTGGATGCTGGAAATGTTAGTTCCAATAGTGAAAACAACAGAAGCACAGACCRTCCATTACTTGACACTGCAAGTACCTCCTCTGACAGYCATGATAAAGATACACATTCTACTCACAGGGGTGCATTAATAAAAGAAAATTCTCACAATTGCAGACACTGTGGTAAAGCATTCATGCATGCTATTGCGTGTAAAATCCATGAAAAGACCCATTTAAACAAACCATTCAAGTGCAGATTTTGTACCAAAACGTGCAGATGTAAATGGGATGTTAACCACCATGAGTATCTTGTTCACTCAGACAAAATACCATTTCAGTGCAAGTTTTGTGACAAGAGATTCAAATGGAAACGGGACTGTGCAAGTCACATGCGCATTCACACTGGAGAGAAGCCATACCAGTGTAAATATTGCAGTAAGACATTCCGATTGAGCAGTCAATGTGCAACCCACATGCGTGTCCACACAGGAGAGAAGCCATACAAGTGTCAATATTGCTGCAAGACATTCAGAAGAAATGAACATTGCAAGTCGCATGAGCGTATTCATTCTGCTGAGAAACCATTCAAATGCAGGGATTGTAGCAAGACATTCAGACATAGAACTAGTTTAGAAAGACATCAATATTCACACTCTGCTGAAAAGCCATACAAATGTCAGCAATGTGTAAAGACATTTGTAACCACCAGGGAACTTAAGCAACATCATCGTGTTCATTCGGGAGAGAAGCCATTTAAATGCAAGCATTGCGACAAAGCATTTTCGTGTAACAGCCACTGCATTAGGCATGAGCGCATTCACTCAGAAGAAAGACCTTTTAAGTGCAAACACTGCGATAAAGCATTTAAATCGTCAAGAGAACTCAAAACACATGAGATTTCCATGCATTTAGGAGTAAAAGCATTTAAATGCAAATATTGCGACAAGGCATTTGCACTTAGTAGCAATCGTAGGCAACACGAACTCCTTCATTCAGGAGTGAAGMCATATAAGTGCAGTCATTGTAGCAAATCATTTGCAACACGAAATCATCGCAAATTGCATGARCGTGTGCATACAGGGGAGAAGCCATATCAATGCCAATATTGCAACAAAAAATTTAGCAATTCTTCTTGCTTAAGGAGACACGAGAACTGCCATACTAAACCATTTAAATGCAAGCTCTGTGGCCTGGCCTTTAATCGGTCCAGTCGGTTGAAAAAACATGAACAGACACATTGAAACTCCCTAAAAAGAGTAACATTACATGCTAATAATTTAGTGCTATTTAGCAGCCCAGAAAAGTAATTAACTATTAGCTGCCCTAGAATATAAGCTCCTTCGAGAAATTCACAGAGATAAAATGTGATTAAATTTTTAACTCAAATTAACTTAATTAGTTAAGTATAAATTTAGTTAAAAATCACTTAATTATTGTAATAAATTCATGAATACATAATGACGCCTAATTTCAAACTAGTCAAATCTGAATACCTCCTTTTGTTCATTAATATATATTGTTATATTTTTGATGTCGTCTGAAATTTTGTYCCTGCTCAAAAACCCATTTTTGGGATCCCTGTGTAAAATATGTGGTCAGCGGAGTATCACTGCTTTTCATGCGTGTAGAAATGATATCCTGTTTCCCATGGTTACGCGTGGTGGGAAATAAACTTCTCAGCTGAACAACCATAAATATTGTCTGTTTTTGAGTCCATTTGAATGATTGTGTAAGTTTTAATCGCTGTAATGGATTGTGGAATGCCTAACGAAGATTCTGAAGGAATTTCAAATCTCGAACTGCTGTCTGTAGTTGGTTTTGCAGGTTAGTTTAACGACATTTTGTCGTCGAAATGTTAAATGAGTTATTAGAGTATCTTATGTTAGTCATATCAAAATTATTGTGGTCATTTTGTGAATAAATGCGGGGGTAATAGTATTGAAAGGATAGATCTGCTGCGTTGATCATAGATATACGTTTTTACAGTTATTTTGTAAGAAAATTAAGCTGTCTCAGCTTACGYATTGCTAGTTATATCAGAAATGTTCACACATTTTTATAATTACAGGAAAAGTACCAAGTGGTTTACTAGTGCATCCCGACAGACAGCATTTGATTTATGCCCTTGGAGATACAGTCATTATTGAAAATCTTGAAGAAAAAAAGAATAGCAAAGGCCTTGGTGACTCACAGAAAGTATATCTACGAGGTCACACAGACAATGTAACATGCATAGCTGTATCMAACACCGGCAAATACATTGCTTCTGGTCAACAAACCCACATGGGATTCAAAGCTGACATTATTGTGTGGGATTATGAAGAAAAGAAACTCTGTCACACATTTACATTGCATAAAGTCAAAGTACAAGCATTGGCTTTCTCACCAAATGACTTGTATCTTGTCTCCCTTGGTGGACAAGATGATGGATGGTAAGTTTTTAAGGCATTAAAAAGTTTAACAATTCTCTAAATGATTGCTTTGCTACCATAGTCTATTCAGTTACTGACATTTTTTGYGGTTTTAGTGTTGTTTTATGGAACATCCATGGTGAGTGCAAAGAAGCTGTCTGTGGTAGTCCAGCGGCAGTACAAAGTGCTGGTGTAACATATGCTGTGACATTTTCTAATCATGATGACAATCTCTTCTTCACTGCTGGGCAGTAAGTAAAAAGCCTAATTCACTATACTTGTCATTGAATAGAAAAGTTCTTGGTAACACTGGRCTATTGTTATTTAGAAAAACTCTGAGAATTTGGAATGTTGATATCCCAAAYCGCAAGATTCGTCCAGTTGACTGTAATTTGGGGCAACTTAAAAGAGATGTCAACTGTATTAAGGTACAGTATAATATTTAACAGAATCTGAATCACGCAGTATGATAGACTCCTCGCAGCCGTTTTCCGGTGTCGTCTCCTTAATCCTCCCCCACAAACGGGAGGATTAAGGAGACGACACCGGAAAGCGGCTGCGAGGAGTCTAGCAGTATGACCGATTAGAGTATTTATTGTAATTGGTGATGTTTTTTAAAAATCCTTTATCATTGTAGGTCTCAGAAGATGATCAGTATTTCTATTGTGGTACATCAAGTGGTGACATACTTGTTGTAAGTTTTATATTGTTATATCAAAAATTTAAAATGTCTACCAAAAAACAGTCTTCTCTCTGCTCAAAAAATGATTCTCTAATGATTTAATAACATCAAAAATTTAATTATTTTTGGGGGGTTTGTGTTTCTTGTTGACTGARAAAATGSTGAGTGATTTTRAATTGATTCTTCRTAGGTTTCAGTTGCAACACATATTCTAAAGAACTCTCTGCCACAAGGTGGAAGCAAGTACAGCCAGGGCGTGACGGCYATACAAAACTTGAARGGTGGCAACCTGTTGGTGGGATGCGGTGATGGAACTGTAGAGGTCATCAGTGGCTACAAGGAGGGTGAAAAAAAGAAAGAAAAAACACAACGATTCAAGTAAGAAATAAGATACAAATTACAKCATTATATGAAATGAAATATTGACTCAATAAGAAAATCCATGAAAAGAACCTTATATCATGAACATTATTTTAGTCTAAAATTGTTATGAATTCAGTTCTATTAAACATCTTATTTTAGATCTCAAAAAGTTGAAGGAGCAGTGACATCATTAGCGCTGAGAGGAAATGGCCATCAGGTATAAACAGAGAGATTTTAATACACTCTTTTTAATATTTTTTTTACACTCTACAAGACAAATTCTGTAAACGAAACTCCTGCTGGAATAACAGATTGTGAAATAAATATCAAAATAATGATATTGGATAAAATGTTGCAAAGTAGGACAGACAGTAATGTTTCTTTTTGTTTCTTTTAGTTCTTTGTTGGCACATCTAAYTCAAACATATACAAGTTTAACTATAACGAATTCTCTTGGGAATTAATCAAAACTTCCCATTCAAGCTGCATCAATGATGTTGTATTTCCATTGTAAGTATGTTTTAAGTACTTAAAGCATTTAGAAGATATTTTCAATTCTCTGTTAAAAACATGGGTGACATGAGGTTTTCAATCAGAAGCTGAAAGCAAGTGGTTTACAAAAACATCACATACGCATTGCAATAGTCATTTATATCAATTTCTTTTTGACAGTGGAAGCTCAGATGTCTTTGTCACATGCTCGAAGAATGAAATTCGTATTTGGTGCACTTTCACCAGTAAAGAACTTGTAAGAATTGAAGTACCAAACATGAAATGTGGTGCAGTGGATATCATGAGARATGGCAAATCAATTGTCAGTGGTAAGTTAAGGTAGTATTTGTGAACCYTGATTCGACTCAAAGTTTTGAATTTTCACTCTTGATCCCTGCTTGTTGTTGTTGGCAAGAAGCAATGCTTACCATTA